CGTGCCTTTTATTTTTCCGCTTGTGAGGCGGATTGATAGCTGCAACACATATCCACTGTAGGGCCTGCTACCATGCTAACAGAGACGGCCGCATCAGCCGTGAAACATTACTAACTCTTATTGCCTGTAGGCGCCTCGGCATACGCCTGTCTATATGGATCTACCCGGAATTGGCTATTTACTGACACAGCCGCGTTGTGGATCTTTTCTCTTTCCCCTCAGTATTAAAGCCACCATTAATAATTGTTTTTTAATACACATCTATACTCCCAACAAATCAGCTCGCTGGCGTGCCTACTCCATGCTGTCTATGATAAGCGACCAGCCTATCTGAAGCTCTCTTGGACGCCAGATGACAGACTTCCAGAGGGCCCTGTTTATAAACAGCTTCAGGCCAAGACTGTTCCATGCATACCTGCAATAGTCAAGAGTGATTCTCTAGCCCATGATGTCAGCTTTGGATATCAGCTGGAGTATTTTCTAATCCAGGACTGCGGTATACCAATTGCTGAATACCTTGGCGTTAAAGTATCATATGGATTATTAAAATACTATGAAGAGAACAGGAAATGAGACATCGACTGCTGCATGGTGTCCTTAAAACCTCTTACCGCTCAGATATAGTGCTGTATTAAAACTGGGATACCAGGCAACGATAGAGCACATTCTAAACTCTCAGGTGAAGTAGCCATAGGTTTGCTCTGGAGACTAGCTCACGTTAATTCGTGTTGAGTTTGACTGATATCTCCTTGCTAGCGCTGATGTCTTCAAGGGTGTGGCAACAGCATGCGAAAGACCAACAGCGAAATACGCAATATCATATAGAGGATATGAGTGTATGATAAAGAATGTAATGATGCCTTCACCTCGCCCAGATAATATTTGAAAATGCAGTCGTCTCAAGAGCTGGTGTAAGGAATTCCAAAATTATGATAAAGCCATCCTCTTTTTGGACGGTATCCAACGACTTGAAGCGCCCGTTTCGTTTGATTCCGAGAGATAGTGTGTGTAGAGAGTGCAGTTATTGCGAAAGTCATCATATCCTCTGGGACAGCCAGTTTGAGAAGAGAGGGCAATCCAGACACCAAAGTAACACATTGCGTCAAGAGATGGAATCGATGGTATATCCACGATGCTTGAGAAAAGAATGACCTGAGTAAGGGTGCTATTCCAGATTTGCACTGATTCGGTATTCTCTATACAATGTCCAGTGTAGTATATGGCTCCAACAATGAGCCAGCGCAGACGAGGAAGTTGAGGGAGAATGTGAATGAGATCAGAAAGATAAACAGGGAACCGAAGATACAGCTTTTCTAATTTCGTCCACAGAATCGTATTGGGGAGTGTGACTGGTAAACTTGTCTGAATATGTAGTTCGGCAGTGGAAGTAGAAAATGGTTTGCTGAAAAGATTCCTTTGCAATAGACCCTGCAGCTTCGTCATGCGCGTTGTCCTTCCGGCCTAAGATGAAAATTGTTTGAGGTTACGAGCTATTAAGTTTGGTCGGGCTGTAGCACCCAAGTAAAGAATATATTGGAGAAAGGAGACAGACCAAGGTAGTCTTAGAGAGATTAATAGGGAGTTGGCGAAAAAAAGGAAGCAAAAGAGACCAGACCAAAGACTGGACCGATTCGAGAATAAAAAAGGAAAGAATAGGAAAAGGGTGAGGAGAAGTAATCTAATTTTCTGATAAAAATAACTAGAACCGGAACATTTCTGAAGATAGAAACTGCAGAGTGTTGGAATTTATCAACTATACTAAGGATAGTACCATTTTCTATTGGTGCGTCTTTGAATAAAGTGAGGGCGCTGGGATCATTGAATGGATAGTAATCTAAACGTAACTCCTTCAACTTTGGAAATGATATAGGCGAGAAATATGTATGCGACTCTTCTGAGGACCCAATTATTTTTGGGTCATGATAGATTGCAAGCTCTGTGAGATTTTCGAAGATAACCGATCCAGGCAGACTGCCTCTAAAGATATGCCATGAATGTGCGATATCAGAATAAAATAGGGTTAAGATCTCAAGTGAAGGTGCGAATATCTTAGGTAGATGCTCGGCACTCTCGCTGCTGATGTGCAGATCCAACCTAGTGAGGTATGAAGAAAAGTATGTGTTGTCTAATTCTGAAAGCACAAAATTTGATAAAATTATTGTTTGTAGCCGAGGTAGGTAAAAGTTTAGCATATCACCAAGTGGAAATACTGGCAGATTCTTCACTGGATACATAAATGCTCTATGAGTCAGATGCTTCCCATGAGGAATGTGAGTTATGAAATATTGTGAGGTTTGCGATAGTCGTTCTCTGACATCATCAGTTATAGGAGGTTTGGTGTCTGAATCCTGCTTTGCCGCCTGCGGATCCTCAATAAAACATATTTTCTCCAATCTAAGCCACTCGACAGTGCTAAATCCAAAAACTCCAAGGATATCTCCAAGAGACGAATAGTCGATGATACAGCCTCGAGATGAGATAATCAGCCTTTGAGTGTAGTGACTATTCTTTGATCTCACAATATGTGGGATGTTGGTTCTCCATAGAATAGGGTGTGGTGATGAGACTGTGAGATGCATGCCTCTGGATGCGAGCTGATTGGAATCAGAGGTGTTGCCATACAGGCGTACCTGGCCAGCAGTTGGCTCACGGCACAAAATAATCGCGGTAGTATAGATACTCTGCTTTATAGTGTCTCTCCAGCGTTGGCAAACTTGGTTTAGCTGGAGGAATGAAATATAGATATCGACATCATCAGGAGTACCCAGCCAAAAAGTGGTATCATATATGGCGACAATTCGCTTAAGAATTTATGGTTTCAGTGTAGCCCAGTGCGCCATTTGAGAAATAGGTGTTTGCGAGGTGGAGTGAAGGAGAGATGGAGTTTCTGTTAACAATAGCTGACAACCTACACTTGTCATGCGCATGTCAATCCTTGTCCACATTTCCCTAATCCTACTCCATCATCCACAATACTTAGCTTCAAGTGTTTACACGGGTCGCATAAATCTAATCTCGCTGCGGAAAGAAAAGGCGCATATACACGCTATGTGTTTCTGAAGGATAAGATGGGATGTAGCATTTCAAACCCGAAGGGAGTAGAAAGAAGTGTAAAAACCACGAGTGTTTCCTGGCATCCCTTCTCAAGCCTCATTGCTGCTCAGATATAGAGAGGCTGCGAAACTGGTATACCAAGCAGCGATGGAGCACGCCTTAAACTCTCCGATGAACCGGCTACCGGTTATACTGGTGAGAAATTCCTGCTAGATTCTGTAAAGTCAACTGGCAATAAAATATCAACACTGATGGTCCCGTGAAGCTGATACTGGGATCTTCTATACAACACTGTCTTAGCGGCTCTGATCTCCACCCACAGATCAGATCAGTTGATCTTTCGGATATGACACTAAGCTGAGTTGCTCCAGGTCCATGTGGTTATCGCGCCACCAGTGCCTTTTGCATTTTGCGTTTCTTCTCCCCCTTCAGCTTCACGACACTTGCTTTTACTTGCCTAACCTCCGGGTTCACTGGGTTCCTTGCCTTCACCTCTCTTTCTTTTGCTAAGCGGATAAACCGAGCCAGACGTAATACAACAATGTCGCACTACGAGCCGTCGCTGTGGGACAAGGCCAAGATGGGCCTGCTCATGGGTGGATCAGTCGGAGCCTGCCTTGGCTGCCTTATCGGATTCTACACGACCATGAAGGTCGGCCCGGGACCGCGCGGATACCTGGGCACGATCGGCCAGTATGCCCTGGGATCAGGAGCCTCGTTCGGGTTCTTCATGATGATCGGAAGCTGCATTCGGTCCGACGATGACCGCCGGCTGACTGCCGAAGACCGCGCGACGCTGCGTGCTGGCATGGAGCGGTGGAAGACGCAGGCGCCGCGCCCAGCTGCATACTACCTGGGCAGCTCTGGCCGTGTCTAGGATGAGAGCAGATTAGCACAAAACGTACATTAAATAAAATTAAATAAGCGGCCGCCGCGATTAACCCACTGTTTACCCTTGGCTGTGGCGCACTCCGGAGAACGACAGCTCATCAACACAGCCTGCCAGGCTAGCAAAGAGGACATGACTCACAACATGTGGATCGATCTTGAGATAAACCAGTAGCGAGAAAAAACTGAAGCCCAGGCTGGACCGCCTTTTTTTCTTCTCCAGCTATCTCGCGCACGACCTTTCTACTTTCAGAACCATGTCACAGGAACGCACCGCCACTGTGTCTCGCAAGACCAATGAGACCGACATCCACATCACACTGGGAGATCGGGTCGCTGGACTCGGCAGCCGAGCAGGTCATCAACATCGACACAGGCATCGGCTTCCTGGACCACATGTACCATGCGCTGGCGAAGCACGGCAAATGGTCGCTGACGCTAAAGTGCACCGGCGACCTGCACATTGACGACCACCACACAGCCGAGGACACGGCCATCGCCCTTGGAATGGCATTCAAGCAGGCGCTGGGCGAGCCGCGCGGCATTCGGCGGTTTGGACATGCGTACTGCCCGCTGGACGAAGCGCTTTCGCGCGCCGTGGTTGACATTTCGGGCCGGCCGCACGCGTCGATTGACTTGGGGCTGAAGCGCGAGATGATTGGCACGCTGTCGTGCGAGATGATCCCGCACGTCTTGGAGTCGTTCGCTACGGCTGCTGGAATTACTCTGCACGTCGATGTGCTGAAGGGCTTCAACGACCACCACCGTGCGGAGTCGGCATTCAAGGCGCTGGCAGTTGCGCTGCGCGAGGCTGTCGCGCGCACAGGATCGAACGATGTTCCTAGCACCAAGGGAGTCCTCTAGAGAGCTAAGAGAAATGCGTCTAGAACAAACATGCTGCTGAAACAAGAATAGCCATTTGATATATATGGTGTACACTGAAATTGTGCATGTTTAAATGTACGTCGGTTTGCATGTATAGTGCATATATTGGATGGACAAAGCTGAGTGACGGATTCATTGCACTACTTTGTTTTATTTCCTACTCTACATGCTTGTCAAGCCAGATTGCCGACCATGATTAGCTCTAGAAATCGAGAAGCCAGTCCACATGTTTTGTGATTTTCAATCCATATAGTAGATTAGTTCTATTTCTAGCAATGCCAAAGATGGCCAAGCGCGCTTTATCGGCACTGCAGCACAAGCCCGTAGAATTAAAAGGGCAGCCAGCAGCACTCCTCGGTGGAGGCGGGTTTGGAGACTGCGGGGGTTTCAGGAGTAGGGCCGTACTTCTGAATAGCGCTTTTCATTTTTTTAAAATCCGCACGTGTAGTGCTTGTGCTTCTTGAGACCACCGAATGAATTGCGCTGGTTGCACATATTGGGAAGGGCAGAATGCATCTTTTGCCTTATCTTTCCCTCTCTCTCTAATCACCCTTTCTCCTCCTTTATACATTGACAGTAAACAACTCCCCTCATGGCCAGCGACACTCTGCGTATTCTACACTTCAATGACGTCTATCATGTGGCGGCCAGCGCCAAGGAGCCGGTTGGCGGCGCAGCGCGGTTCGGCCACCTGATGCACACGCTCCAGCAAAGCGACACGCCAACGCTAACGCTATTTTCAGGCGATGCGTACTTCCCCAGCCTCGAAAGCAGCATCTCCCGCGGCGAGCACATGCTCCCTGTACTGAACAGGCTGAAGATCGACGCGGCAGCCTTTGGCAACCACGAGTTCGACCAGGGCATCGAGGTCCTGGAGGGCCTGATCCAGCGCAACAACTTCCCCTGGGTGATCAGCAACCTGACCGACAAGGACACAGGCGGGCCGGCGGCCACGGGCAGCGTGACGCACTTGGTCAAAGAGGTAGGCGGAATGCGGGTAGGAATCATTGGCATTGTCGAGAAGGAATGGCTTGATACCTTGCCGTGTCTGCCGCCGACGTTCCAGTACCACGATTTCATTGCCGAGGCACGGACAATGGCCGAGAAGCTGCGCGATAAGAGCGACCCGGAGATGGCCTGCGATCTGGTCATCTGTCTGTCGCATATGCGGCTGCCGAACGATATCAAGCTGGCGGATGCCTGCAAGGATGTTGTTGATCTGGTGCTGTCCGGCCACGACCACTTTTACTATCTGGGCTCGGGCATTGACTCGTTCCAGGACCCAAGCAAGGACCTGGTGCCGGAGGACAGTGATGACGTGCAGATGCTTGCCAGCTGGCAGAAGGAGCGCAGCCAGCTGGCCGAGGGCGAGGCAGGCAGGCGGGTGATCAAGAGCGGCACGGATTTCCGCGATCTGAGCGAAATCACGCTGACGCTGGCAAGGCCGGGCGCAGTGAGCAAGGTCGACGTTGTGCGTCACCGCGTCACAAGGCAGATCGAGGAGGAGAAGGAGATCAGCGAAATGGTGGACAAGATCGAGGCGCACCTCAGCAAGGCCATGGACAAGGTGGTTGGGTTCACGACCACAGCCTGGGATGCCCGCTCGACCGTCTGCCGCACGCAGGAAAGCAACATCGGCAGCCTTTCGGCCGACCTGATGCGGCTGTGCTACGCCGAGACCATTGGTGTGCAGATTGGGTTTTTGTGCGGCGGGGCGATCCGCTCCGACAAAGTGTACGAGACCGGGGAGGTCAAGCTGCGCGATATCATGGAGATCTTCCCGTTCGACGACCCGGTGGTGGTGGTCAGGCTGACCGGCGACCAGATCAGACGGGCGTTAGAGAACGGCGTCAGCAAGTGGCCGGCGCAGGAGGGCCGGTTTCCGCAGGTCAGCGGGCTCCGGTTCCAGTTTCGACCCGAGGAGGGCGCCCGGCGACCGCGTGGTGTCGATTATGATCACGGCGTCGGCCAAGGCTGCGGCAAGGGCCGGAAAGCTGGGGATTGCGAAGGACCAGGAGAAGGCCGAGCAGCTGGAGAGACGCACAAAGGATGTGCCGCCGCTGCACCGCGTGGCCATCAAGAACAGCGCCCTGTCGCGCGAGGACTCGGCCACCCCGCCGCAATCCAGGCGCAGCAGCGACGCGTGGGAGTCCGACACCGACGTGGATTCCGAGTACGGCGGCGAAGAAGACGAACTCTTGGATATGTCGGCCGAGTATATTGTGGCTACGCGCGACTACATGTACCAGGGGCATGACGGCTACGAGGCACTGAACGAGGGCGAGCTTCTGCTGGACGAAGAAAACGGAATCTCCTTCTCCAACCTCTACCGCCGGTTCTTCCACGGCCTGGCCGTCACCAATGCGCTCAAATTCAAACTGCACGGCCATGCACAGAGCTGCTCGATTGCGCGCCACAAGAGCCTGCAGCCCGAGCAGGAGGAGCAGCCGGCCAAGCAGTCCGAGTGGAAGCGCCTGATTATCAAGCACGCGGATAACCTCCGGGCTCTGGCAAGAGAGCAGTCCAAGCAGGGGCTGGCCGGCACTATTGCCGAGATCGTGCAGAAATACCACGACCGGCTGGCCGCCAAGGCACAGCTGCTCACGCACCGCCGCACTAATGTCGTCAAGGCGCTGCTGTCCAGTGCCGAGCGGCTGCCTAGCGACCAGCAGCCGCTAAGGGTGGCGCGCACGGCGCTGTTTGGCCATGAGGACACGAGCCGCGTGCCGCTGCCATGTCCCGACGACGAACGGGTACCGAGGAACGACGATCTCGATGGTCTGCTGCCCGGCGTGCCGATCAACCGCAAAGACACCAGGTCATATGCGTCCGAGGAGCTGATTGCGCAGTGGGCGGTTGTGTCGCCAATGGTGGATGGGCGGATCACCAACGTGTCGGATCTCAAGCCATAAGACCCCAAAGGGCATGTCTGGGCAGGTGGTGCAATTCCGCAGCCACCAAGCTAAAGCCGATTCTTATTTCATTTTTCCATTACATTTATTCAGCAAGACAAAAAAAGCCATGGGCCGGGCAGTACGAAACACGCGCATC